CTCGTGTCTTATATGTGCAGTAACTATTTACCAACATTATCCATTGAGATGAACTAAATTAACCTATATAACAACTCACCAGTCATAAACCAGTATGAAACAATTGTTTACTCTGTTTCTATTGAGCGTAATAAGCCAAATTAATTTCTCCCTAAAAATTAGTACCTTTTTTGGGCACAAAGCTACATGTCTGAGCAGCTCAGTGTCTAAAAACTACACAGCAGCTTCTAAAATGCTCTAGAAGAAGAGAAAAAAAAAAAAGAAGACAAAAAAGCTGCACAGCGTTTGATTCACACACCTTTCCTTAATATAATCTTTATTGCTTTTTCTTATTGGGTTGAATACAGAACAGGTTTACATCTCTTGACTTGTGAAACACTGTCATGTGTTGCTAACAGCAGGGGGGGAGGACAGACGCAGGACACAACGCCACCACATCCACGGCTTCCAGGCGATTGTGAGTTAATGCTTTCTGATTGAGGTTCAGCATGAATGCTTGTGTTTCAGTCTGGCGTTCTCTTTCGTGTCCGACCGGGACTCTGACGTCAACCGAAAAAGGCTTCAAACCGAACGTCGGAGCGAAGAGGACCGGAACAGAACCAAGAAAAACGATATTCCGGCTTTAAAACACCAAAAATCCAACCTGTTAGGTGATGACGAGTTCACAGTCAAGTGCTAAATGTAGTGATTGACAGTTCTGAATCATTATTTAAAAAAAAAAAAAAAAAAAAAGAAGACAAAGTAATCAGGACAAGTTGCAACTCAGGAAATACGAACATGAAATATTTCGAATAATGGATTTGTGAAAGACCCTGAGAGCGAGATTATATATATTTTTATATTTATATATATATATGTAGCACGAGAAGTGATGGAGAAAAGGAGAAATCATCCATAATTGAACAAATTAGATTAACATGCAAAAAAAAACTAACCTAAAACTCACCCTTTAACTGAACACAATGGATTTTCACAGTTTTATACGCATTTATATGTCATAGAGGAAAAAAAATAATAAACACGACAAAAAAAAAAAAAAAATTCTCAGCCAAACTAAAAATAAACAACAACAGAACCAATAGACCCAGACAGTCCGTTCAACTCATATACAGGAGATCTACATAAAGCTTTTTGGATTCAGAGGGATTCTTATTGCTAAATCCGATTCGCACGCCGGCCTACGGCAAGCCGGTTAGTCCACAACACAAACCATCAGTTCCTCAAAACAGTTCTGCAGCATAAATGTGATATTCTTAATACATGGCTTCTTCTCAAGTCATTGTAGAAACTAAACACACACACACACACACACACACACACACACACACACACAGCTGGGCTCCAAATAAATACATTTAAAAACAGTCCATGTGCATTCGAATGGAAGTCCAGTATTCATATGGCCGTGCACGCAACAAACACGCAGTCAGACGTACGTATTCCCGAGGGAGAGGGTTAACAGAGAGCTGACAAAACCGAAAACAGTTCGGAGAGAGAGGCGAGCGCTTCTTTACAGCCACAGCTGAATCACAAGCTCCAAATTTAAGCTTGATTCTCGTTTCGTTTGAGCGGCGTCGGTGTGAAACGCGACTACGAGCTGCGGCGCTAACAACGTTTGCCTGATCAAGCGTCACCGGTTATTCTGCTTACGACAGGAGTGTAAAATCGCAAAATCTCTGCACAAATCCACACAGATTCTGAGAAATTCAGAGCTTTTCCCGCCTAAATTAAGTAAAATGCTAACTCAAGGCCGCTAAGGAGCAGCAGCAAGCCGTCTGCACGAAGACGATTACCAGTTCGCTGTGTAGCTTCACCACCAAGATAATGTTTACAAGGGTTTGTTAACGTTCTATTCCATTTTGGACAGGCTGACGAACAGCAGCAAACTAGCTGGCTAGCTAGCTCAGAACGGTTTTGTGACCGCTGTTGCCTTCAAATGGGGTTGCATTCACTGTGTTGGAGTGTAAAATCAAACTTCTGCAACGGAAAATGCCATTTCAACACATTAGTTTGAGTAAATCCGCACAAGTTTTGAGAAATTCCATTAAATCTTGACAAACATGAGCATGTCCGCCAAAATAAGGAAAATTAATGCTAATTCAGGCCGCTAAGAAGCAGTAAACGTTAACTTTTTGTTCCATTTTGAACAAGCTAACGAATGGCAGCAAACTAGCTCGCTAGCTAGTTTCTAAAGCTTTTGTGACTGTCGCTGCCTACGAACAGGGTTGTGTTTACCGTGTTCAGTCCATATCAACTCTTCTTGTAAATTTTACAAACGTTCCCAGTTGTGCTGCTTCTTCAGATGTTTTAAAAATACGGTGGAGGCCATGGAAGGTCATTTTTAGTGACTTGTAAGTTAACACGTTGTAATTAGAGTTGTATAGAGCAATAAAATGTTGAAATGCCTTTGCATCTGTATTTATGTTACCTGCCTGTTAGCTTGCTAAACGGTTAGCCTCAGAGGCTTTATCCAGGTTGCTGTTGCCTAGCCGCGATGTTCTCGCGATTTACATCTGATTTTACCTTTTAAACACAAAGCATTCGGTGGAAAAACTTTCCACGTCACACGGGATCCATTTGAAAGCAACAAATGCTCCTGGCTGGCTCGTATGTTAGCTGTTAGCTTGCAAGCTACACATTTAAATAATCACTGCTAACGTTCTAGCACCAAGTGCTTTACGAGGTACTACCACTGCAGAACGGTTCAGATTTTCGGTAACAATAATATTTAATATAAGCATCTTCAATGTTTGATTTTCCAGTTGTGTTTTGCACAAGGCATTAGCCGCCATGAAAGACGGAGAAGTATACCTTAAAGTCACGGAGGAATTTGAAAAGCTTAAGGGTCCATTTGGACCACACGGTGTTTGAGAAACTAACATTTTAGCCTAAATTTACTGCTATAAAGGGATCTTCCAATAATCTGACGAGTCCGCTGAATTAAAGGTTTAAACTGAAAGAAAGCGACTCTCTCTCTCTCTTTGATTGTGTCGCGATGGTAGTAGTACTAATAGTGGAAGTAGTAGTAGTAGTTTTGGAAGTTGTTAGTGCCAGTTCACGGCAGCAACCAGCCAGTCGGAGCAGTTGTGGTTGTTCAATGTTTCTCTCTCGTTGACTGACTAAACGATGCTGCCTTACAGTTCCGTTATGAGCCGCTGAGGTTCGATTTGCTTATGAGGTTGCTTGATCTAAAAAAAAAAAAAAAAGAAGAAGAAGAAGAAAAAAAAAAAGAAAGTACAAGAAGAAGAATTAGCTATATTCAAACACATACACACTACCCGTCCCTCTGGTCACGGTATCAGGATGGATAACCCCTCATCATCCTCTCCTGGTGTGGACATGTCTGGTTAGGTTGGTGCTGGGAGTGAAGTTAGCCCTTTAAACTTGTGTTTGTTTGTGTGTGCAGCAGGGTAATACAGTTCAGGAACACAAAATAGTGTTGTGCTCACACCCGCTCCAACCTACCCATCCATTCACTCATCCGTCCATCCATCCCTCTCACCCCGTCATCTAGCTCCTTATGGAAATTACTCTGAGATACAGCCGAGGGATTCACGTATTTCTGTCTGCTTTCCATTTGATTGTCTAATGCCAAATTCATAACCGAGTCTTCGGGTATCCAATGACCTTGGTGGCGATAAATCAACACCTCGTTTCCAAAAAACAACTGAGGACCAGGAATCAATAGTTCTGTTGGTGTCGGGACAGACTGAACAGAAAAGAAGGAGAAGTCCTCAAAGACTTTGATAAAGGAGAAGACAGAAACAAACGGTACTAAAGCCGTCCAGGGCCAACTCCAGATATGCTGATAATACTGTAAAGAGACTAGCCTGGCCTACTTCAACCAGATATGCTGTTAACCAAGATAGCGACGTGTTATCCTGCGTGGTGTAGCCAGTTAACCCAAACTAGAATGTGTTTTTACCTTTTGGGTGATATGTTAGGAACCAGTAAGCACAGCTCGAGCTAACTGACCATACTAATTAGATGAATCAAGTTACTGCGACTCTAGCTAGGCTAGCTTGTCTGAGTTGGTCAGTTATCTTTAGCTAAGATATTTTTTTGCCTTTCTGTTGATATCTTAGGGCCCATTAACCAAAGATCAGGCTACTGATTCAGGCTAGCTAGTGCTAACTAACCATACCAGAGAAATTAACCAAGTTAATGCAGCTCTAGCTAGGCTAGCATATCTGATCTTATCAGTTATAACTAGCTAACATTTGTTATTACCCTTTTGTTGATATTTAACAGCCCACTAAGCAAAACTCGAGCTCGTGATTAGAGATAGGTAAAGCTATCTGGCCATTCCAAACTATCCTTCACTGAGTTTCTACCCTTTTGTTGAAATCATAGAGCCCAATAGGCAGGCAGCTATCTAAAGCTAACTCACTGTAACAGAGAAATTAACCGAGCTAACACAATTGTAGCTTGGTTAACTTGTCTGGTGTAGTCAGTCATTCCTTGCTAGCTTATGTAAAATCCTGGAGATGATGAATGACCCAACACAGGCTAATAGCTACACCTAGCCAGTACTATCCCCTTTATAACCTGTAGCTAGACTAAGCTAATGAGCTTTTCTTTTCTTGTGTGGGTTAAGGTTAGTAATTAACTCTACTGAGTTAGCCTTCTTTAGGTGTTTTGGGCTTTTTTTTTTTCAAGCCAAACTGACTTGTTAGCCTCGGATAGCTGTGTTTGAAGCTACATTAATGAGCTAGCCCTGGCTATGTCTGATTTGGCCCACAGTGGAAACCAGGCTTGCAAAGCATTTTCCCTGCTAGCCTGCTCAGGAAGACGTAGGATTTAAAGGGTCGTCTACAGAGCTGCTCGTCTGTTGTTTTATTGGTTGCAGTTAAAAGCAGAGGTTGAGGTAAACTGAACCGGGGTCAGATATTAGCGGCGACATACGTTAGCACGCTGGAGGCCCTGCGATAAACCCTAAAAGAACACTAGGGGGCGATGATGAGAGACAGGCGGCAGTCACACACATACGCAACGAAAAACTTTTGATTTGTTCAGTTATTTAAAAAAAAAAAAAAAAATCCACAAAAGATAATTCCCCTCCCTACACCTAGATGTCACTGATAATCGCACACATGCAGAAAAACAAAAATACTCTAGCATCACGTGCCACATGTTCAACTCTCTGTACACACATGGAATCAACTGAGAATGATTATGAATGACAAATTATTAACACACAAAACAACTCGTAGGGTGGCTTCTGAGGGATGAAGGGATCAATAGTGTGATGGGTTTAACAAAAAAACAAAGAGAACAACATGGAGAACACAAACACTATTTTCTGCCCTTTCAAGAGTTCTTCTTCACACAGACATGCGACTTAGACAAGTTCGTGAATGTTTTTGTGTGTTTGCCGAAACCGGCCGAGAGACGTGGATCGGTGCGAGCCAAAAGGACGACGAGGCGGCGGCGGCGGCGGCCTCTCTGCGTTTTCCAGTTACAAAAAAGTTTCCTCGGTCAAACCGCCAGCCGGCAGCAGCCGTTACTTGCTGGTGAAACTGGGCTGGACAAGCCACTGTGGCTGCCTCCGATTCTATCCAAAAAAACAAGATCAAAACGACGGCTGGTGGTTTTACGCGGCTGCGGCTGACAGACCAAAAAAACAGAAAAAAGTCAAGTTCCCCACCTTGACTAGTTTGCTTTTAAATCCAAAGCTGGTTCAAATGGTGAAAGTTTCGTATTGTTCCGTCTGTCGTGTGTCCAGCTGCGATTCAAACACAGAAGAATAAACGCAGACAGTCCTTTGCAGTCTTTGTCTCTCGGCATCTCCGAAGTTGATCATCAATTCTCAAACAAAATCTAGAACAATAATTAATCGTAACTTTATTCTTTTTATTGCTGAAATATAGATTCCCCGCACAAAAAAATAGTAATGTAAATCATTGTCATCATAAAAAGCTATAAAAATTAGATCCATCCTCCGTAATAATGCAGATAAAGATATAGCAAAAAACATCTTTTAGAAGAAGGACTAGTAGTAAGGCACTTCAAGAAAACGAGGTCTTTCTATCAAAAATTTTCCGGGCTGGTTTTTGCATCATCATCATCAATGGTGTCGCGTCTTTCCGTCGTATGGCACTGCGGTGATGCTGGTTGGGAGGTTCCCCTCAGTCTACCCCCACCAGAGGAGGCTCTCCGTTGGGCAGGATGTGCTCCAGAGGGGGCTTGGCGTGGATCTCCAGCAGCCCCTGGATGAGGCCGTCTGCGGGGGCAGCGGTGGCGGCCTCCCCCGGCGGAGAGCTGGAGGAAGAGGGGTCTTTGGAGGTGTTTGAGTCGGGCGTCGATTTCAGGTCGCTGGCTGAGGAGTCGGCGCTAGTAGTTGTCTTTGTGTCAGTAGCTTGGTGGCTGGGAGTCGAGTCGACGGAGGCGTGTTGCGTCGGCGAGTCGGCGTCAAGTTCGGATTTGTCCTCTACGTCTTCAGAGGCGGCGGCGGTCGGTGGATCTGAATCTGCACTGGACTCTGCTCGGTTCGTGACACTTTCCTCCTCCTCCTCCTCCTCCTCCTCCTCTTCCTCCTCCGGCTGACCCTCGGCCTCCTCTTTGACGTCCTCCTCCTCCAGCTCCTTCGCCCCGATCGCGGCGCTGCCGCTCTCGCTCTCGTTCTCCGAGGGCGGGCAGGTGGAGGTCGGGGTCGGGGTGCAGGAGTCTCCGTCCTCGCTGGCGTCATCGTTGGCGGCGGAGGATCCGTCGGCTCCGCGGGGCTTCAGGTGGATCCTTTGGTGGCGGACCAGGCTGTGCTTCAGGGTGAAGGTCCGCTCGCAGGTTTGACACCGATAAGGCCGCTCACCTGGAGGGACGACGGGT